CCCATCTAGGAGAATCCTGTATAGGACGGTTGTTCATAATACAGGCATTTTGTTTGTACAGGGGGGGGGCTCTTTTCACAAATTCTGGAGAACACCACAGACAATAGACGTAACACAGAAGATGGAACCAACTTGAAGAAATATCGACATGTCTTCTCACTTTCTGTAGATAACTGTTTATTTCTGTTTATCCATTTGGGAGAATCCTGTATGGACGAATGTCCTTAATAAAGGAATTTTGACTTATTTTTATTTGTACAAGCTCTTTTCACACATTCTGGATAACAGAACAGCCACACTCAATAGGCATAACACAGAAGATGGATCCAAATTGACCAAAGGTCAACATGACACGTCCACTTTCTGTAGATAACTTCTACATTTGGGAGGGGGAGGGGGGGAGAGAAGTCCGACCACATCAGTCCCCCCTGGACCCTTGGAATATTTGACCAAATTCTGGTCCAAGGTGACTAACGTGGCAACAGCACCCATTTTCCAATGAAGAGCAACAACTTCTACATTTACTTCTGTTTACCTATCTGGGAGAATCCTGTATGAGATGATTGTTCATAATAAAGGTATTTTGTAGATTCTGTTTGTACAGGGGGCTCTTTTCACAAATTCTGGAGAACAGCGCAGTCAATAGGCGTAACACAGAAGATGGATCCAACTTGACGAAATATCGACATGTCTTCTCACTTGCTGTAGATAACTTCTACATTTACTAATGTTTACCTATCTGGGAGAATCCAGTATGGGACGATTGTTGGTATTACAGAAGTAGCACATGATTTAAATATCCTGAATATAAATTCTAAACAATGCAATAGGTTTCTGGTGTTGAGTCTCTTTTCATTTTATTAATCCCTTCTCGAGATTTCGGGCATATCTGTTCTACTACAGGAGTACATAAGAGAGAGAAAATACGGTTTTCGGGATAGTAACAAATGTGTATGATTTTTCGAGTCCAAAAAGGAGTATATAAAATCGAATCCTGTTACTATGTTAAAATGTAAAATGGCAGAAAGGTCTGAAAGCTCAAGATTACGTTAATAAAATGGAAAGAAGTTCATCTCCAGAAATCTATTCCATTGTTTATAATTACAGAAGTATATGTGAGCAAGAGATACCCAGATATTATTTGAAAAGGTAAAAAAAAAATCAGGTAAAAAGTTTCTTTTAATTTCGTATTGCAAGCTTTCGAGTAAATATATTTCAATTATTCTGTATATATATAATTTAGAGATTGTACATAGAGAATATCAGCCCGTTAAAGAGCAGTATATTTGCTCGAAATCTTGCAAATTTAAATTAAAAAGAAACTTTTTACCTGATTTTAATTTTTACTTTTTCAAACAGAAGTATATCACAACAATCCTGGAAAGAAAGAGTTAGCATTCGAACGTTATCTTTCACAAGAAGGAACGTGAGGGAAGCCAAACTAATGAGATTTCTGTGGTTATCTTATCCCAGCTAAGCATGTGGGGGTTTACTGCAGAAATGTGATAAGATTGCGCGAACTATCAGTACTTCTAATTCTATATCACTTCAGGCGTGAAACTCTTTTTTAGATTTCCTCAGAATTATTGGTTAATTGAGTGGACAAAATCTTCAAATGAATTCTCAGAAATATTGGTATTTTGATTGGGTCGAATCTCCACAGAACTGCTAAGAAATATTACTTAATGTAATTGGAATCATTTCAATAAAAATTCTCGGAAATATCATTAAATTGAATAGGCAAAATCTCAATAGAATTCATCAGAATTGTTGGTTAATTGAATAGGCGAAATCCCCATCGATCTCTCTTTAATTATTTGTTAACTTAAGGAAGTTGTACCTTTTAGCATGTATATCGGGATTCAGACAAAAACTCTGAAAGATACACTCATGGACAAAACTTAAGGAATTTGTACCTTTTAGCATGTATATCGGGATTCAGACAATAACTCTGAAAGATACACTCATGGACAAAATTTAAGGAATTTGTACCTTTTAGCATGTATATCGGGATTCAGACAATAACTCGGAAAGATACACTCATGGACAAAACTTATGGAATTTGTACCTTTTAGCATGTATATCGGAATTCAGACAATAACTCTGAAAGATACACTCATGGACAAAACTTGAGGAAGTTGTACCTTTTAGCATGTATATCGGGATTCAGACAATAACTCTGAAAGATACACTCATGGACAAAACTTAAGGAATTTGTACCTTTTAGCATGTATATCGGGATTCAGACAATAACTCTGAAAGATACACTCATGGACCAAACTTAAGGAAGTTGTACCTTTTAGCATGTATATCGGGATTCAGACAATAACTCTGAAAGATACAACTCATGGACAAAACTTAAGGAAGTTGTACCTTTTAGCATGTATATCGGGATTCAGACAATAACTCTGAGAGATACACTCATGGACAAAACTTAAGGAAGTTGTACCTTTTAGCATGTATATCGGGATTCAGACAATAACTCTGAGAGATACACTCATGGACAAAACTGAAAGAAGTTGTACCTTTTAGCATGTATATCGGGATTCACTAGAACTTGTTTTAGAAACACAATTTATCTTTAAGGTTATATCATGTTTGCATTCTTTACCTTTACTAACAAGAACCTGTTGAATGAAATTTCAGAAGGAGTATTTTAATTTTATATTACTTACGTAAATTCTGATTTATTTTTCACTTACTGGAAAAAACTTGTTCAATAAATGAAATTACCGTTTTATTCTTGCACACTCACAAATTCTTTACTTGTCAAGAAAATACAAGACAAGTTATTTATCCTGATTACAATCTTGTCTGCATACATCCTTTGTCCTTTGTCTTTCAGAACAATTCAAATATATAGCAAACAAGTTATTTCCAGCTTGTATACTTGCATCAATTTTAATGCGCCCTACATTTATTCAAAATATTCTATGATATTTAATATTTATTTAAAACAGAATATTTAGATTATCATCATTTCTCTTTATAGTTTCATTCCTTTTGTAATATTTTATTTTACATATATCAGGATTGGCTACACATGGCACAAGCCATGATAATTTTTTTTGCTTATTCCTAGTGAACGTGGTACAGGTCATGGTAAGCATGGTGGGTAGAAGTTGGCGACTGCTTTTACTGTAAGTGAACCACATATGAAAAGCAGTTCGACTTTGCACTTACAAATAGCCATGATAATTATGGTGGGTAGAAGTTGGCGACTATTTTTACTGTAAGAACACCACATATCTACATGTATGAAAAGCAGTTCGACTTTGCACTTACAATTAGCCATGGTGGGTAGAAGTTGGCGACTATTTTTACTGTAAGTGAACCACATATGAAAAGCAGTTCGACTTTGCACTTACAAATAGCCATGATAATCATGGTGGGTAGAAGTTGGCGACTGCTTTTACTGTAAGTGAACCACATATGAAAAGCAGTTCGACTTTGCACTTACAAATAGCCATGATAATCATGGTGGGTAGAAGTTGGCGACTGCTTTTACTGTAAGAACACCACATATCTACATGTATGAAAAGCAGTTCGACTTTGCACTTACAATTAGCCATGGTGGGTAGAAGTTGGCGACTATTTTTACTGTAAGTGAACCACATATGAAAAGCAGTTCGACTTTGCACTTACAAATAGCCATGATAATCATGGTGGGTAGAAGTTGGCGACTGCTTTTACTGTAAGAACACCACATATCTACATGTATGAAAAGCAGTTCGACTTTGCACTTACAATTAGCCATGGTGGGTAGAAGTTGGCGACTGTTTTTACTGTAAGTGCACCACATGTCTACATGTAAAAAACAGAAAGATTTTATTAAATGTGTTGATTGATATAATATGTATTATTATATTCTCTTTCATATATAGTCTATAGGTTCTTTCTCATAGGAGAAATCTATATAGAGATATGAAGAAAGATGTCTTTCAGTTTGTATGTTTGAAAGATTTCATATCAGTAGATATGTCTTGGGGATAAGTGGGGGCTGTAGATATCTGGATTGGTCTATCTTCATGGTTCATCTACCATGGACTGCTGACGAGGCCTTGATGTCGACTCCCTTCTTCTTCTTTCTTATCTCCACTTAATCATTTCAGGGTATCAAACTTGTAGAGCTTGTTGATGGTATCTGCTGGGGATGAATAGAACTCATCAATGGATGATTCAATACAGTCAATAATGAAAAAACAATATAAAAAAATAAATAATAAAAAGATGAGGTGTTGATTTAAAAAAATAAAAAATAAAAAAGGCATATCCTGACCAGGAGCACATGTTTTTATTTTTTCTAATATTTTTTTCATGTGTTAAGCGTATTTACGCAAGTTTGGCCTTAAATACCCATTTCTTGGTTTCTCAAGAAGCCACTGGGACCAAAAATCTTTTTGGTTGCAGGGGTACAGCCTACTCAAGGCTGACGAGCGCGAAACGCGTTCGTGGAAGGCTTTTCTTGATTTATCAAGAAATTGGGTTGGTCAAATATCAGGGAACAGGCTAAATCAATGATTAGTTGATTTCTGTTCCAACAGATGGCGCTCTGCCTTCTGAAAAGCACATGTGCTCTTGGTCAGGATATGCCATTTTTATGTTTACAGTCAATAATATGTTTTGGGGTTGCAGGTTGAGAATTTCACTTAGTACATAGTGAGAAAACCATGTAACCCTTCTGAGAGAAAAGTTATTGTCCGTAGATGACCAGACTTAAGTCTGGAAATCGACTCCCTGGCGTCTATGTGTCTACAAGTATTTCATTATTTATTTAGATAAGCCAGTAGGTTCCTGGAGCCACGTACAGAAGTCACCAACTACCCGGATTGTTCTTGGTTATATTTACAACTAGCCGAATGACCCGGGCAACGCCCGGGGTTTACCCGATTAAATGCTTTTATTTAAATACTATTCGTTACAATTATAAATCGGCGCCGTGGATGTCATTCTTGTATAATGTATAAATAAAAAAATAAGTCGGTGGACGAGTGGGTAACCCCCTCGATTCCCGACAGTCATGAACCGGGATTGAATCCCGCGTGGCAGGCGAGCATTCTACCACTGAACCACCGATGGTTATGAGAAATGGCCATATTTGGGTATATATTCCAATCACAAAAGCAAACGGTGACAGAATTGATTAAGAAAGGGCAATGCCCGGGTTTTACCCGATTAAATGCTTTTATTCAAATACTATTCGTTACAATTATAAATTGGCGCCGTGGATGTCATTCTTGTGAAACGTCCCGCTCCAAACTTTGTGTCTGAGAAGCGATATTTTTATAAAGAGATGATCTGGCTTTGTGTCTTCTGCTCGAATGAATGTTTTTCTGTTAGAATTTTGTTCCTGCATACTAAAGATGAACTGGCTTCACTCGTGGTCTCTGCTTTTTGGAATTTTTCCGGATATAATTTTGTATCTGATAATCAAATATGATACAGCAATATTGTCATCATCATTTTCTGAATAAAAAACAACTACTTTTTCCCCAGAACCTGTCAATTTATTTTTCTTTACTAAAAATTCGAAAAATATCTTTTCCAGATTTTTATCTATGTCCTGTTAAAACACGTTTTACATGTCCATTAGGTCAGCTGATATTACCTCCCATCTTCACCGCTAGAGACGCTGCTTGCGAGCGAAAGGGCAAATTTGCCACGCAATTTGCAAATAACTTGTATACATACTTGTATACTTGTGTATATAGACCACTAGGCGAATGACCCGGCTTCGCCCGAGAAATCCCTTGGGTGCAATTTCCTTCATACTAAAAGTATATCAATAATAAATATTAGAAGTGCCATAGAATAGCAATACAGAAGTAACACATAAACTACAGGAAAAAAGTGTGTGTGATGGCAAAAATTGTATTATATTAGTGTTTAGGTATTTGATTCAATTAATATAGTTGATATAATAATATATATTTATATTATATATAATACTAGCGGACGTACCCGGCTTCGCCCGGGTTTTACCCAAGTAAAAGTTTGTCTAACGAATCTCTCGATAAAGTGAACATTTTTTTCCCGGTCCCTTGAAAAATACTCGATAAGTTGAATAAAATCAATATTAATTGGTTCCCTCGGTAATTGGAAGTTAAAGGAATAGTATCTTGCCTTGGAATTGTATCATTATTCTTGTATGGATGTACCCGGCTTCGCCCGGGTTTTACCCGAGTAAAGGTTTGTTTAACGAATCTCTCGATAAAGTGAACATTTTTTCCCGGTCCCTTGAAAAATACTCGATAAGTTGAATAAAATCAATATTAATTGGTTCCCTCGGTAATTGGAAGTTAAAGGAATAGTATCTTGCCTTGGAATTGTATCATTATTCTTGTCTCAAATAAATTGCCGTGTCATCCTGAATTTTGTCTTTCCTAATTTTCTACATTACAAAATCATCGTATCATCATGATAATATTTAGAGCAGATTGTTGAATTATAACAGATAAATTAAAATATTTAACTTGATTATTTCTAGGCGAAAAGTTATTTTAAAAATTTTATTTGCTAGAAACCTTCCCAGTACTAGACTAAATAACTTCCCAAAGTTTCATGGCGATCCAATGAGTGGTTTGGTCAGGCATAAAGGACAAACAAACAAACAAACAAACAGACACACATACATTCATTTCTATATATATAGATAAATGAGTTTTAAAAATTGTAAAAAAAAAAATGCATCGGCCGGGAATCGAACCCGGGCCGCCCGCGTGGCAGGCGAGCATTCTACCACTGAACCACCGATGCTTAAAAAAAGGCCATATTTAGTTATTCATTCCATTCCGGATTAGTCCGCGTAAAAAAAAAAGTTCTTCAAATGAAAAAAAATAAATAGCCAAAAATACTAATCAAAATGCAGCCGAAAATTTTCCTCAGGTTTATAAAAAGCGACATGCAAAATTTGGTACCAATTGGTTCAGTAGTTTTTGAGTTTATCGCGAAACAGACAGACCGAAATTGACTTTTATATATATAGAGAAGAGATTAATCTGTACATAGACAGGAAAAGCACATATATTTTAATAATATAAATGAGTTTTAAAAATTGTAAAAAAAAATGCATTGGCCGGGAATCGAACCCGGGGCGCCCGCGTGGCAGGCGAGCATTCTACCACTGAACCAAAAGCAAACGGTGACAGAATTAAGAAAGAATTGTGCATGACGCTGATAACTGTATATATTAATGTCAGTGGAAGTCCAATTACTGAGGTGACGCCATGCAGATTTCTTTCTTGTAAGATTTTCTAGAGATGCTGTACCTAGATTGGTGATCCTTAGAAAGGTGGCCGTCAGGAATCTTTGATGAAATTTGATAGACCTCAGCAGGGATACAAAAGAGCTACATCTGTACTCATGTTAGAGTCGGCAGCAAAGGCTTCCATGTTAGGAACAGCCTCAAATTACAGGCAAAGTCAGACTTTCACCAAAGTGGATCATGGTGTCATGATCAATGAAAGCTGTACCCCTAAACCCTATCTCATGAGATCAAGCTTGAGAAGTATGAACTCATGGAATTTATGTAATCTTTACATAAGGGGATAAGAAACAACAACTGATGATCCGCTCCCTGTCTAAAGGCGAGGTCTTTCAAGGTAAGGGAATATTCATCGCTTAAAAAAAAATTGAATATTCATCAATGAAAATTAGAAATATATTTTTACTGACACTTTTTTATATATATAAACAACAACAAAAAGCTTGATTAAGACATTTTAGTCTTATACAGATTCTCAGAGTAGAAGAGGGTATATACAGAAATACCAGTAATAGTAACTGTTTTGTTTCCCACTTGGCAAATACGCAAGGAGGAAAAGCAGAATGAATTTTAACAAAACAATTTGTTCTCGTTTGGCCTTTATTGAATAGAATGTTTTATAATAGCTTAAAGAAACAAATGTACTTATCTTTGTTCAGGCAATTATCCCAAGCTTTACAAATGAATTTATTTTAATTTTCTTTACAATAAATATTTAAAGAATTTACAAAAGATTTAAAGCCGCAGCTCAAAGGCCTTGTTCTTTAGTGGCGACCGTGCTAAGAAAAAAGAAGGTGGAGAGCTCCCTCTGGCGGTGCAGCCAGATGGCCTCTCATTGGTCAGCGATGACGTAGCTCTTCTTTCTTTCACCGCCGCGCGCCGCATTCTGCCACCTATGTTCAGAATAAAACTAAACATACTCCCCTCCTGTGGACGTAGTCCACACACAAGGCAAAAGAAAAGGATCACATAGTGTAGAAAGTTTTTTTTTTTTTTTGAAGAAGAAGAAGAAGAAGAATTAGAATGGCAGAAGTGCAATCTTCGAGATGGGTCTTATTAGATGATGTTGTTTCTCTGTTTGAAGTTCCACAACTCGGACAATGCCATCCGCTCCAGGTGACACCTTGGTGATGCGGCCAAGGCTCCACTGCATTGAAGGCATAGGAATGTCTTTTACCAACACCAAATCTCCAACCTTCAGGTTGGAAGAGGGTTTTTTCCATTTGGACCGTTGTTGCAGATTGTTTAGATATTCCCTGGACCATCTTTGCCAGAAAACATCTCTGGCCTTTTGAATTAATTTCCATCTAGTTAAGTAGTTGTCATTAGGGTGATAACTGAGCTCTGGGAGTGCTGTTAATGGTCTTCCAATCAAAAAATGTCCTGGAGTGAGAGGGTTGAAATCATTTGGATCCGAACTCATCGGATTTTCTCATCGGGTTATTTACAATGTATCAAAGAGGGAGAAAGAAGAAAGAAAGAGCGCTTGGCATAAACTTATATACAAGTAATCGAGAATAAACAGTTCCTTTTCTTGAAGAACAATAATTAGTGGTATTGACGGAAATTTAGATTAGTACAAGTGAAAAGGAATATACAACACAATGTATTATATACATTACCAGGTATCAGATTATCTTTAGAGTTTTATACATGGATGGATCAAGGGTTTTAGTTTGAATATATATAGGTTTTTAAATTCAAATTAAAGTTTTTTTATTTCAAATTATTATTTTTTAAATTCAAATTAAAGATTTTTAATTTCAAATTAAAGTTTATAGTAATTATAGTTTTCAATCACCATTTCCCCCATTTTAAATCCTATAGAAAAGGTATTTTCAAAAATAAAATTGTCTGCACGAAATTTGCTGACCGATCCACAAAATAATCAAAATTTGGTACAGATTATTGAAGTGACCACTGTTACTTCTACCGATTGCAACAATGTTGACATGTCTAGGAAACTACCGCTGGCTGTAGCAGAACAACCGTTGCATTAAATGCTTTGTGCAAATGACTTTATTTAACCTGGGCGTTTGTTAGCGAGGGCAATCGCTTCGTCAACTGGGATTGAGTGGAGATGAGGCACAGGGCCTCATCCCAGCCAAGGTCGGGAAGCCTGGATTGGTCGATGGAGAGGGTGGGGGACTTGAGGTGTTTCACCAGCTGAGCGATTACGGAGCGCTTCTGGGAAGACGTGGAGGGAGTTGAGATTTCCTCCTCCTCCGTCCTCGTGGTCGAGCGGAGGGGGTCCCAGGCTCGAGGGGCCCCGGGGCAGTCAGAGGTGCAGGATGGGCATCGGGGGCGGGCTGGGCTGGATGCACCGGTTCGGCAGGCTGAGGCGCGGAAGGGATCGCGGGAGCCTCAGTCGACGTCTCCGCAGATGGAGCAGGGGACGCTGCCCATGGACTTGATGTCCAAGCGGGTGGGCAGCTTCTCCAGTCTGACGCCCTCATGAAGTAGGATGTAGGCCTCCCGGCGGCCGTCGGTAAAGGCGTACTCCCCCATTTTGATCAGGATGGGGGCGATGGAGGTGACATCTCCAAACGGTCGCAGGGCATCCACGACGGTGCTGTCCTCCACAAAGCCGGGCAGATTGGCCACGACTATGCGCTCGGCCCTCTTGGGGTAGGGGAAGACCCTAAGGAGCGTTCCCTTGATGTTCAGGCCGTTCTCCACCAAACGGCTCGCAAGGTCCTTGCTCGCCAGGCCCACGATGTAATGCCCGTTCATTCTGTTGAACTGGGTGATGTTCTTTGGACCCCCGACCAGCTTGTCGATCGCCTGGAGGTAATTGTATGGCGAGAAATCTGAA